ATCCAGGTGTTACAGGATGGTGGATTAAAAGGTAGGAAAGTAAGAGATCAGGTGCTGGGGCAGTCTTGCCCCAACAGGAGAGGGGTTGAGGCTGACAGCCGGAAGAGCAGAAGGATGAAAGAAGGTTTATTTGCCATGAGAAGACTGCAAGTGCTGGGATAGTGAGAGGAGCTGCCAGCACTCTGGTTCTCGACCAGGATGAGCGACAGTCTGTGAAGCAGACTCCACCAGGAGTGGAGTCCCAGGTGGACAGACATCAAAAGCACGTATCCATTCAGAGCCAAATGTGTGCAACACATGCTTGCCACTCCTCACCCAAGCACAGGTATCTTGACTCAGCACATGTTAAGAGACTGGGGCTCCAGGGTGCTATGACTGACCCAAGGTTATATGACTAAGTAGCACAGCTGGTACTGAAACACAGGTATAAAGTTTTGTTTCTAAACTCGTGGTTCACATGGTCCATAATAATCTGAAAAGGTAAGTTTCTAAAGCATAATCCTTTTAAGCTTAAGAAGGTAACATGGGCTGAGGGGATAGCTCAGTATTCTAAGTGCCTGCCTGGCAAGTGCAAGGGCCAGGGTTTGATCTCTGGCACCACATGCAGATTTCTGTAAGATAACCATGGTAATTCCTCCCCACCCTTAAGGCCAGTAGCTTCCTTAGAAAACCTCATCTCAGAGCTGAAGATCTACCTTAAGTTCTCTAGAAACAGAACCTGAGGCAGGTGCTCCCGGTAGGAACAAGAGCAGGTGAGAAAGGCAGAGGAGGGCGAGGAGTGAGCAGGAATGGGAGCTCTGGTAAAGCTTGCACTTGGTCTGATGCCCAGGTTGGTGGTGTCTGGCCATAAGTCCCCCGAGAGTTTCCATTCCCAGAGTCAAGGAAACCGGCTTTTTGTTCCAGAACCAGTGATTGTCACAGAGGGTGGTCTCTGCAGAGGAAGGACTTGGGACTCTGAAACTTTGGGGGTGAGCACACAGAGTTGTCAGATGGGTCCTGGGAAGGACAGCCAGTGCTGCAGAAATGCTGTCTATCAAAACCTAAACGTAAGACCCAGACCGCAGCACAGAAGCATTTGTTCTGATGCAGGTCAGCCTGAATTTTCAAATCAGGATTTTTTTTTTTTAAAAAAAAGCAGTAAAAATGAACGATAAAACATAAGATTCTAGCTCAGTATAGGAAGTTCCTGTAAACTCTTCCAGCTAAAGTTTCACTAGTGAAGGATGGAGGTACTACAATGATAAATAAACAGCAAAATAAGAGATAGATAATAGTACGGAGATCTTTCTCAAGTGGAAAGGAGGTCAAGCTATGGAAGAGGGTAGTGAGAGGAGAGAATGTAGATTAAAAAAGGAATTAAAATATATTCTGTACTTGATCAACTCCACCCAAGAAATGTGAACATTATCTACTGCAAACATGTACTAATAAAAAAAATTAAGTAAAATATGAGTAAACTGAATTGTTGAACTTATGACTTAAAAGAATATCTAGAGCAATGAGCACTTTGGATGCTTAGTGCATTAGATATTCATCTGAGTAAATATTTAGTGTATTTCTGCAGTATAAGAATACTGCAATGACTGGTCATGAAATTCTCGCAATTTGTCAAAATGAGACACCTGTGTAGAACATAGCTGCTACTTCCAGAGAAATTTCTTTCCAGTAAGATACATTAAAGTTGCATAGTTTTTTTTAAAAAAATAAGATACAGAGTTCAAAGGTTAAAAAATAGAAAAATGACACTATAGCAGAAAAACTTCAAGAGAAAATTTGAAAGTTGGTTGGTAGATTGTGACTGAAGCGTAATGTAAAATTTTTAACAGCTGTTGCCTTAGGGTGAGAGGACAATAGGTCATAGTGATAATAATAATAGATAATGTGAAAACTAGTTAACGTGTAAAAGAACATCAGATTGAAACAGAATTCATGAGAGAACCTCAAAGAAATTATTCAGTGATAGAGACAAAACATAACTGGGCAACTAAGAAAATGAAGGCAGCTGGAAAGACAGAAACCTCTGGTGCATGGGTGGGAGCAGATAAAACTGTTTGTGCTGCTGTACATCGTGCTGATACCTAAAATCTACAGAGAAGATGACTGAGAAGGAGAGACAGAGTGGAGGAGGCACTGCCCTTGTCCGCACTAGGGCCATGGGGGCGGTAGTAGTGAAATGTAGTGAAAAGAAGAGCAGCGAAAGCCGTACCACCGTGGCCATTCCTGGAGGGACGTGTGAGTCTAGTCGTGAGGGAGCAGTTTAGAAAGGCAGCTTTGTAGCTGTCTGCCAACTTACTCACATCTGCTGCATTTCACTTCTAGTTTGGAGTTTTATTCCCCAGAGTACATATCTACTTTGCATTTATAATTGGGTCTTCAGTCATCATCTATAGGCTGTTCCATCTTTCTTCTTGTTTGTCACCGCAGTCTCCAAGTGGCCTCCATTTCCTCAGCAGTACATTACAATTTTCCAGTTCTCACAGACTTGGTTTAAATGGTACCTGACAGGTACTAAGCCAGAACGTGACCACTGGACCACATATTTTTTAAATGTATTTAGTCCAGGGTCTACAGGGTTTCACTACACAGACCGAACTCGTAGTGATCTTCCTGTTTTCAGGCTCCCAAGCGCTGGGATTACGGGTGTGCGTCACCACGCCCACGTCAGTAGTCATCTCTTCATGCCACGTGGCGGGGCTGGCATGGCACGCCTCGTATCAAACCCCGGTCCCTGAGCCTGCTGAAGCAGGTGCTTTAGTTCGCTGAACTATCTGGCTGGCCCTCAGACTTCATTTTGAACCCACATATCGGAGTATAGGAGCTTTCTCAGGGAAGAACTCTAAGCATCATTAAGAAATAAATGGCCATGTACCCTCTGGATTAAAGAACTAAATTTTGTAGTTTAATTCAATTGAACACCATTTTTTTCTGTTTTCTTCTCTAAAAAGTAGGAATTGTACAAGCTGGTTATTGAAAGCGTGCCTTTAAAGTTTAACACTGTGTGCTTCTACACTTCCTCCGCAATAGGTGACTGGCAGCAAGTCCAGCAGGGAACAAGTGCTGCCCGTGGATAGACACTGTTAAGTTTCAGGATGTGTTATTCTGGGTGCAGGGAGTTTTTGATATCTGTATTAGTGGATAGGCTTTTAATTTTACAGGGAGCTGAGAATGGAACACAGTCTTCTAATGGGATATCATGACTAAGATGTTTAATTACTCTTATCTGGTATAGTTGTCAAATGAAAAAATAATAGAAATTCCCTCTCCCTCCCCCCTCCCCCACAGGACACATACCAGCAGGTGTGACAAAGCCCCACGTGGAGCGACCTGGTAGCCATATCAGAGGCTTAGTATTTTTCTCTCACCATTTGTAAAGTAAAATTACTTCAAAGAAAATTAAACTGATGACTTAATTAGTATAATTACTTGAACAGTAATAAAGCGTAATTGGTATAAAATAAATGGAGCACAGAATTGAAACCATAGGAACAAAAGCCACGCCATCATTTGTGATTTCATTTTTAAGCTCATTAAAAATACATATATATTAAGTCAGTTTGTTTTCATGACCTTCTGGGTAAAAAGAATTTTCTTTCTTTGACATTTTAACTTGTAGTTGTATTTCCCATGATTTACATTTTTTAAAAAAATATTAAATATTTTAAAATATTAACTATTAAGCAGAATACCTGAATGTCTGTGATTAGTGCTTTCAGTATGTATCGTAGTGTCCAGCCATGCACCGCAGTGCCCAGCCATTTCCAGGAGGCAGCAGTAACGGGAAATGGAACAGGAACTATTATCTGCGAAGCTAAGAAAGTGAAGTATACTGGCCGGGGCTATTTTCTGTTGCAATACCATCCTAGAGGTTCTTTGTCCACTTTCATCACCACTTAAAATGTACTGAATAATGTTAATTTAGGAATTTAAATAATAAAAATTTATAATTAAAATGTATTCATTTTAGAATCAACTTATTGTATTTCTTAGACGATCATCACCAGTTTTTAAAAGAATTTACTTTTATGTTATTTTTTCTGAAATTCTTAATTGCTGTAAACCTTTTTCTTACATCATAGACTGCTGTTTTACCTCATTTTTACAATATTTTTGGGGGGATATAAAATTAATGAAATAGGAACTTCAAGTACCAGGCAATATGTGACACTGAATAACTGGAGCGAGTGAGTCTTATACAGCACACCCGTGACAGGTCACAGCTTGGATCCTTGTAAGTCAGGGACTTACTTATTTGGGGATTCACTACCTTTTATTTTGGGTTGAGGTGAGGGAGTTGTAGAATATGAACAGCATCCTCGTGGTCCTGGATAATGCGCGCAGTAGGGACACACAGTGCCTCACTGAACGCTTGCTAGTACCTGAGGAGGACGATTCTGCCGTTATTTCCATATCCTAGGAGAGGAACTGAGGCTTGGTGAGGAGAAGCCTTGCCTTGCTTGCCTAACTCGGAAGGGAGAAAAACACTGCTCTACTCCAGCCAACTGAGAACAGAGCCCTCTTGCTCTTAAGTACCTTTTATGCTACTGCTCTCCAACAGCAGAGCTAGAGACCCAGTTGAAAACTCTTGAATGCCTAGAGAGGGATAGAAGACCTGGAACCTAAGAAAGTTGTGGCTGACTTGCAAAATGATATGCCATGTGCTTTCTCAGGCAATGTAGAAGGTGCCAAGATGAAAGCTGTAATACAAGTATAATAAACTTTGGGTGTTTTATGACAGAGAGAAACTAGTTAAGAAGACAGTAATTTTGGCTGTGAAACACACCTATTTCTGGGATGCATAAACTTATGAAGAATCAACTCGACTTGACAAGGGTGACAGTGGGCTTACCTGCTGGTGAAGGTTTGCTCCAGTTAATTTATGATGTGGTGGTACTATGATGTGAGATTATTCGAGCCTTTCTTTAATAACTGAGAAAAAACACAATAAAAGCCATGCAATACTAGTGTTGACTTATATTTTGCATTTTTTTTTTCTGTTTTAGGAAATATATTTGTGGTGAGCCTGGCAGTGGCAGACCTGGTGGTCGCCGTGTACCCGTACCCATTGGTGCTGACCTCTATATTTAACAATGGGTGGAACCTGGGATATCTACATTGTCAGATTAGCGCCTTCTTGATGGGTTTCAGCGTCATCGGCTCTGTATTCAATATCACTGGGATTGCCATCAACCGCTACTGCTACATCTGCCACAGTCTCAAGTACGACAAGCTATACAGTAACAAGAATTCCCTCTGCTATGTGTTCCTGATATGGATATTGACACTTGTGGCCATTTTGCCAAACCTGAGAATTGGAACCCTCCAGTATGACCCCCGGATCTACTCCTGCACGTTCACTCAGTCTGTGAGCTCAGCATATACAATAGCTGTGGTAGTTTTCCATTTCATAATTCCTATGATCATAGTCATATTCTGTTACCTAAGAATATGGATCCTGGTTCTACAGGTCAGACGGAAGGTGAAACCTGAAAACAAACCTAAACTGAAGCCACAGGACTTCAGGAATTTTGTCACCATGTTTGTGGTTTTTGTACTTTTTGCCATTTGCTGGGCTCCTCTAAACTTCATTGGTCTCATTGTAGCCTCAGACCCTGCCAACATGGTGCCCAAGGTCCCTGAATGGCTCTTTGTGGCTAGTTACTATATGGCATACTTCAATAGCTGCCTCAATGCAATTATATATGGACTACTGAATCAGAATTTCAGGAAAGAGTACAGAAGAATTATAGTCTCACTATGTACAGCCAAGATATTTTTTGTGGATAGTTCTAATGATGTAGAAGACAGAATTAAATGTAAACCTTCTCCACTAATAACCAACAATAATCCAATAAAAGTGGACTCTGTCTAGAAAAAAGCATTGCTGGCTGTTATGTGCATTGCTCAAGGCCTTACTCATTTTCATGTCTCTTTTTCTTCTTATGTCTAGAAATCAGTAGTTGAAAACCTCAAGCTCTTAAGGGGTTGCTTTTATAGTTTCTGAGCTAGTGTGCTGTCTACATTGTGAATAAGTCTAATTCTGCTTGTCAAGAGAAATACAGAACATGTGAGAGTCATGTGTTAGCTGAAGATGTGCTTCAAGGGTAGATGGTTACAGCAGCGTGGTGAGTGCCTCTAGGGGGAGCATGTGAAACCTTTTGTCCTAAGTGAAGTACAGCATAGCTGGGCAGGCAGTCCTCCTTGTCCGTGGGTTCCCCATCTTTGAATTCAACCAACTACAGACAAGATATTAGGAAAAAAGCTCATCAGTACAGAGCATGTGCAGAACATTTTTCTTGTCATTATTTCCTAAACAATGCAGCCGAACAACTACTTACATAATGTAGTATTGTAGTACATATTATAGGCAACCTAGAGATGACTTACTGCATGGTAATGGAAAGATGTTAGGAATTAGATGCCGATGCTTCATCATTTTATACAAAACACTTGAGCACCTACAGATTTTCATGTCCTGGGGGGATGCTGGAACCACTGCCCCAGACTCTGAGGGACCACTGCAGTTGCCACACACCCTTTTAAAAACATTTGTAGGAAGAAAATAAATAGACATTTTATTAATGAAGAGTAAATGGAACAAGAAGGAAAAGTAAGAGGAGTAGCCCTCATTATGGTATGGAAAGCTGAGAATGAATGAATCGTTCAACAATAGCTACCACAACCACCACCCTATGCTTTTCTGTTGGAAGTATAGCACTGGGCAACTGTAGTCAAAATCTCCATCACTTCTAAGACTGTGCTGTAATTACATGCTGCACATTCAGCTGGATGGAGAACTGGGACAGAGTTCTTAAAGCTCTTATTCAGATGTTAATTATTATTATATTTTAAACAAAAGGCTACATTTCCATTTTTATTTGACCTGTTAGGATTTTGTGGTCAGCTTCTTGTCTCTGTGACAAATACTTAGGATAAATGATTTAAGAGGGGAAAACTTTAAAGTAGTTTTACACAGTTTCAAAAGGATCAGTCCACAGCTAGCTGGCTCCAAGGCACAACCATCCTGCTGGGAGGGCAGGGAAGAGGATCTGGAGACAGTCAGAGCAAGAAAGCCAGAGAGAGAAGAGGGGTGGGGCATAGGATGCTGTCCCATTGACCCACCTCCAACTGGGCCCCACTCTGGAACAGCACATTCAGCTCCGATCCTTTCAATGGCCTCATGATCTAATCAGTTTTCCAAAAGTCCCCTTTCTGAACACACAAGTCTTTTAGGAGATACTTTAGATCAAATCATATCATACATATTTGACTTATTATTATTTTGTTTCCTTGACTTATTGCCTTGAAATGACTCTGTTTATTCATTAAATTGCTTAATCAGTTCAGTCAAAACTAATGAAGGATCAAAGAGATGCACACTCTAGACACTGCGGTGGCTGTGTTCTAGATTGATGCTCTACATGGTCAAGTAAACAATCTGAAACAGATTTTATTTTTTTTATTTTTTGGTACCAGGAATCAAGCTCATGACCTCATGCTTGTCAGGCAGGTACTGTGCTGCTGAGCTATATCCCCAGCCAAAGATTTTATTTTACAGATATTTCAAAACAAATATTCTTCAATAATTCATTGCAATTGCCAGCCAAATAGCTCAGCAGAGTAGAGCATCTGCTTAGGCAGACACAGTGGCCCAGGTTCTATCCCAGGCATGCCATGCTGGCCCCGCCCCCAGGGCACACTGAGAAGGTGATTGAGACTGGGCGTAGGCCTATAATCCCAGTGCTTGGGAGGCTGAACACAGGCAGATCACTATGAGTCGGATCTATATAGTGAAACCCTGTAAACTCTAGACCCTGTACCAAATTAAAAAAAAAAATTCATTGCAGTATTTAATTGTGAAAAAGTACTGGCAATGTAAGAGGAGCCAAATATAAATGACTAAGCTTTGGTTTCATAAATACTGCTATAGTTTACCTCACATAGCAGTTTTGGACTTATATGGGATTTGTGATAGAGATTGCTTAACTAGAAATTACATCTGTATTTAATTTTTGTAGTTTACAGATCTGTAACAAAATTATCATAGGGAAAAGCTGCTGATTTGTGACTAACAAAAAACAAAAATTGGGCATATATTTAGAAAAGCAGAATTCCTTGGGATGGTCAGATTATTTTCTTTTTTCTATTTTTTTTCTTTTCAAAGTTTTATTGATAAACATATAGCAATGAGACAGTTTTAAATCAAATCGAAAGTACAGTTTCAACAAATAATACACTGCATATATTCTTCTTAGTGGTTAATTGCTGTACAAGATGCA